GAATAATAGAAGTGAGCGAGAGGGTACCAGCAAGGCCCAACCCGCGGGCAACCCTAAAGATTCATTTGGTGATGGAAAATCAGATTTTAGGGGAGGGTCATTAGGGCCATCCCAGTCTTATACTCAGTCTTCAGCCAGTGCACTGCCAGTGGGGCACATTCAGTAGCAGGAGAGTCACTTCAGGCCCAATCAGGGCAGCAGGGGGCCCCACCATCAGGGCCGATCAGGAGGGAGATTCCAGCAGCAGTGGAGGCCCCCATGCCCCAAGTGTGGGAGGATGCATATGGGGATCTGCTACCAGGACCTGCCGGTGTGTTACGAGTGCAGAATGAGGGGTCATATTCAGAGGGAATGTCATTTATCCCGCCAGGGTGCGGGCAGGGGCACAATACAGCCATCCAATTCTACAGCTGCTACATCTTCAGCACCCCCTCCAACTCGAGGCACTCCGACACCAGCATGGCGTGGTGCAGCTAGGGATGGTGCGCAGAGTTCAAGAGAACCCATCTGTTTCTATGCTATGAGTGGTCACCAGAGTGTAAAGGCTTCTCCGGATGTTGTCATATGTATATTGACTATGCAAACTCATGATGTATATGATCTTATTAATCCCGGTTCTACCTTGTCCTATGTTACCCCTTATGTTGCTATGGAATTTAGGATAGAACCGGAATAACTTCATGAGTCGTTCTCTGTATCTACTCCAGTTGGCGAGTCTATTGTGTCTGCATGGGTTTATAGGGGTTGTATTGTCAAGGTACGTGGTCGGTACATCATGGCCGATCTCATTGAATTGGGGATCGTCAATTTTGATGTAAATATGGGTATGGATTGGCTTTACTCATGTTTTGCCAAGCTCGATTGCCGAACTAGAACTACGAGGTTTGAATTTCCAAGTGAGCCAGTTGTTGACTGGAAGGGGGATAAGTGGTGCCGAAGGGTAGGTTTATTTCTTACCTTAAGGCCATGAAGATGATTAACAAGGGGTGCATCTATCACTTGGTCCGATGCTGAGCTACCTACACTCGAGTCTGTGCTAGTTGTGAATGAATTTCCAGATGTCTTTCCTGATGAACTCCCTGGATTCCGTTAGATAGGGAGATTGATTTTGGGATTGATATGATGCCAAGCACACAGCCTATATCTATTCTGCCCTACAGGATAGTACCAGTAGAATTGACGGAACTAAAGGAGCAATTGAAGGATTTGTTAGAAAAGGGTTTCATCCGACCGAGTGTATCACCATGGGGCGCACCGGTCCTCTTTGTGATGAAGAAAAATGGATCACTGAGGATGTGTATTGACTACCGACAGCTCAACAAAGTCACAATAAAAAATAAGTACTCGTTACCAAGAATAGATGATTTGTTTAATTAGTTATAGGGTGCTAGATACTTCTCCAAAATTGATTTACGATCCGGGTATCACCAATTGAAGATCAGGGAGCAGGATATTCTGAAACAGCTTTCAAAACCCGGTATGGGCACTTTGAATTTCTGGTAATGTCTTTTGGGCTAACAAATACCCCGACAACTTTCATGAATATTATGAATCGAGTTTTCAAGCCTTTCCTCGGCTCCTTTGTGATAGTGTTCATCGATGATATTCTTGTGTATTCACGAGGTCGGGAGGACCATGCCGATCACCTCAGGGCAGTGTTGCAGACTCTTTATCATCACCAATTGTACACGAAATTTTCAAAGTGTCCATTTTGGCTCGAATTTGTCACGTTCTAGGGTCATGTTTTCTCTAGAAATGGAATTAAGGTTGATCCTCAAAAGATTTCAGCAGTAAAGAATTGGCCTAGACCTACAACGCCAACCGAGATTTGTAGCTTCTTTGGCTTAGTAGGTTATTATAGGAAGTTTGTGGAGGGGTTCTCTACTCTTGCTCTCTGTTGACTAAATTAACTCAGAAAGCGGTTAAGTTCCAATGGTCTGATGCTTGTGAAAGGAGCTTCCAGGAGTTAAAATCGAGATTGACTACGGCGCCGGTGTTGGCATTGCCAGAGGGTACAGAAGGTTTTGTGGTATATTGCGATATTTCAAGGATCGGGCTTGGGTGTGTATTAATGCAACAGGGCAAGGTTATAGCTTATGCTTCTAGGCAACTCAAGAATCATGAAAAGAACTATCCAACTCATAACTTAGAACTTGCGGTAGTGGTTTTGGCTTTGAAGATATGGCATCATTATTTGTATTAGTCCATGTGGATGTATTCACGGACCACAAGAGTCTCCAATATATTTTCAAGAAAAAGGAGCTGAATCTAAGGCAGAGAAGATAACTTAGTTACTCAAGGATTACAACCTCAATATTCTGTATCACCCGGGGAAAACCAATGTTGTGGCGGATGCTCTTAGCCGAAAATCTATGGGTAGTTTGGCTCACTTGAAGGCATGTCAAAGGCCGCTGTCCAGGGAGGTTCATCATCTAGCCAGTTTGGGAGTTCGTCTTGTGGACCCTAGTGAAGGAAGGGTAATTGTGCAAAATAGGGCTGAATCATCGCTTGTTGTGGAAGACAAAGAGAAGAAATACAACGATCCATTGTTGGTACAGCTGAAGGAGGGGATTCATAAACATAAGACTATGGCTTTTGCACTTGGCATGGATGATGGTACACTGAGGTACCAAGGGTGACTATGTGTTCTGAAAGTAGATAGTCTCCGGGAAAGAATCATGACCGAGGCTCACGTATCTAGGTATTCCGTGCATCCAGGTTCTACAAAGATATATCACAATCTCAAGGAAGTCTATTGGTGGAATGATATGAAAAGGAATGTGGTGGACTTTGTGGCAAGGTGTCCGAATTGTCAGCAAGTGAAGGCCGAACATCAACAGTCTGCTGAGTTGGCGCAAAACATAGAAATTCCAATATGGTAGTGGGGAATGATTAATATGGATTTTGTGGTAGGATTACCACACACTCCGCGTAAGTTTGACTCAATTTGGGTGATTGTGGATCGGCTCACGAAATCAGAACATTTCTTGCCAGTTAAATCTACCATCATAGGGGAACAGTATGCTCAGTTATATATGAAGGAAATAGTCAGGTTGCATGGCACTCCAGTTTCTATCATCTCCGATCGGGGGGCTCAGTTCACGGCAAATGTTTTGAAGAAATTTCAGAAAGGTTTGGGTACTCTGGTGAATCTTAGTACAACCTTCCATCCACAGACTGACGGGCAAGCAGAGCGGACTATTCAGACGCTTGAGGACATATTGCGTTCTTGTGTTCTTGATTTCAACAGCTTTCATGCTAGTATTTGGATGGCACTATTTGAGGCATTGTATGGTAGGAGATGTAGATCTCCCATTGGGTGGTTCGAAATTGGGGAACCAGAGTTGATAGGGCCAGACCTTGTGCATCAGGCAATGGAAAAGGTTAAGACCATTAAGGAGCATTTAAAGACCACTCAGAGTCGTCAGAAGTCCTATTCGGATGTTCGTCGTAGGGATTTGGAGTTCAAAGAAGATGATTGGGTATTCTAAAAAATTTCCCCCATGAAAGGCGTAATGCGATTTGGTAAGAAAGGGAAATTGAGTCTGAGGTATATCGGGCCGTACAGAATCATTCAGAGGATAAGTGAGCTGGTGTACCAGCTTGAGCTACCACCCGAGATGTCATTAGTTCACCCGGTATTCCATGTGTCCATGTTGAAGAAGGTAGTTGGAGATCCGTCCACTATTGTGCCGATTGAGACCATTGAGGTTAATGAAGAATTGTCTTATGAAGAAATTCCAATTGCCATTCTTGAAAGACAAGTTTGAAAGTTGAGAAATAAAGAAATTACCTTCGTGAAAGTGTTATGGAGAAACCAGCAGGTTGAAGAGGCTACTTGGGAGGCCGAGGAAGAGATGAAGAAGAAGTATCCTTACTTGTTTGAATAGCTGTGTAATTCTTTTTATGAACTTGTCGTCTATGAATTTTGTATCACTTGTTCACTTAATGTAAATTTGTTACTTTTGATTATATTTTATTTACATGAGGCCACGGTTGGTATTGTTATGAGGTATGTTACATCGTTGGTTTGTGAACGTGTTTTTAGGATGTGATTCTGGGGCTCTCTAATAGGTGGATAGGCCTAGTTACAAAGGAAACTCTGACAAAATTTATGGAAATTTGGGGAGTTAGTTAAATTTGGGGCTACTGGTGTGGGGTATGAAAAAACTAAGTTGCATAAGGTGCTAATAGTGGACCCTGATCCTCATTTGAGGACGAATGATCTTAAGTGGGGGAGGATGTAAGGCCCCATAAAATATTTCCTAAAAACCCAGATTCTGTGATGCTGAAGTAGGCGTAGAGGTTAATAGTTCCCAGCGTTAGAAGTTGTGCACCTTATCAAGTATGGTTCAGACCATGCTCCTCTCTTATTGTCATGTAATATTGACACTGTCCAAATTAGGAAACCCTTCAAGTTTCTCAATTTTTGGACCAAACATGAGTCTTTTCTGAATCTGGTGAAGGAAAATTGGGAAGCTGACTCTATGGGGAATCCATTCATCATATTCCAAAGCAAATTAAAGAAGGTGAAGTCATCACTGGCAGCCTGGGGCAAGGAGACTTTTGGGGATATATTCAAACAAATTGCAGCATTGGAGGATGTTATTAAGGTACAGGAGATTAAATTTGAATTAAATCCAACTGTTCATAATAGGGCTAAGCTGTACAAAGTAGAAGCTGATCTTACAAGATATTATCATCTAGAAGAAGCATTTTGGAGGCAAAAGGCTAGTATGCAATGGTTTAAATATGGTGACAGGAATACTAAGTTATTTCATGCTCATGTGAGAGGCAAGAGGAAGAGGCTACAACTGTCCAGAATTCTGGACAAAAATGATAATTGGTTGGAAACACAAGAAGACATGGCAAGGGAGGCAGTTGAGTTTTTCCAGGATTAATTCACAGAGGAGAGAATTCCTACCAACTTTGACATTATTCAGCATGTCCCTATGTTGGTGTCTAATGATCAAAATGCAAAATTGTGGCAAGAACCAACCATGGAGGAGGTTAAAGCAGCCGTTTTTGGGTTGAATGGTGATAGTACCTGTGGTCCGGATGGATTCACTAGACAGTTCAATCAAGATAGTTGGGAAGTTATAGGTGAGGATATCTTTAACATGGTGAGAGATTTCTTTAATAGTGCAGGATTACCAAGTTTCATTACTCACACAAATCTTGTCTTGCTTCCAAAGAAGAAGAATGTTCCAACATTTTCTGATATGAGACCAATCAGGTTGAGTAACTTATCCAACAAGATCATATCTAGAGTGAACCATGAGAGGTTAGTTGAGATTCTACCTTCACTAATCTCTCCTAATCAGGCTGGCTTTGTTAAGGGGAGGAGCATAAAGGGAAACATCCTGCTTACTCAGGAGATCATAACTGACATAAGATTGAGAGGGAAGCCAGCCAATATGGTAATCAAATTGGACATGGCAAAGGCTTATGATAGAGTGTCATGGTTGTTTTTTACAAAGATGTTGAGGCAAATAGGGTTTGGAGAGATCTTCAGTGATATGATATTTTGATTAGTGTCCAATAACCGATACTCAGTTCTATTGAATTGGCAGGCCAATGGATTCTTTAAATCTTCAAGGGGTGTAAAATAAGGTGATCCTCTTTCCCCCTACATTGTTCATTCTAGCATCTGAAGTGCTTAGGAGAGCCTTGGATGCTTTGTTTGACAATCCAGACTTCATAGGCTTTGGCATGCTAAAGTGGAGCCAAAACATCAATTATCTATCCTATGCAGATGATACTATTATATCATGTTCTTCTCATTATGGGGCAGTCCAGCTTATCATGAATATATTGGGGGATTATGAGGCAGCTTCAGGGCAGAAAATCAACAAGGAAAAGTCTTCTGTTTATATGCATGAAAAGGCACATGCAGATGAAGTGAATATTGTCTATTTGATCACTGAGTTCCAAAGGAAATATTTCCCATTCAGTTACTTGGGATGTCCAATATTCTATAGTAGGAGGAAGGATTTCTATAAGAGAATTATTTTCAAAGTTCATGAGAGGTTATCATCATGGAAGGGTAAGTTACTCTCAATTGGTGGAAGGGCAGTGTTGATTGCACATGTGTTAGAAAGCATGCCAATTCATCTCCTTTCAGCAGTGAATCCTTCGGTATATGTGATCAACCAATTGCACAAGATGTTTGCTAGATTTTATTAGAGCAACTCAGGCAATGGAAGGGTAAAACATTGGGCTTCATGGGATAATCTTTGTTTACCTAAATATGAGGGAGGTATTAGTTTTAGATCATTTCATATATCCAAGGCATTGTTTTTGTAAGGCCTTGTAAAATATTTCCTAAAAACCCAGATTCCGTGACGCCGAAGTAGGCGTAGAGGCTGTGGTTCAAACTTTTTGTATTGAACAGTGCCTAGGGAGTTGAAGGAAAATGTTGGACAGAATTAGGCATTTATGTGGCCCGTTCTGCGGTCGCAGAACCACTCTGCGGACAGCAGAATGGTCGCAGAGTGAGGCCGTTTTCTAGGGCATTTTTTATGTCAATTTTGCGGCCAATTATGCGACCGCAAAACTGTTTTTCGGGGCGCAGTTTGGTCGCATAGTCATCCTTAGTATTTTGCGAAGGGAGGTTTTGCGTGCATTATGCGACAGCAGAACAGCTCTGCAGGCCGCATAACGGCAGCAGAGTGAAGCAGGCCAGTCCAATTTCCAACGCCACCTTTCGCGGTCATTTCCCAGACCGCATAATTATTATGCGGTCACATATGCGACTGCAGATCCTGTTCCGGAGCTTAACTTTTGGGGTTTTTAAAGCCGACCCTATTCCGTTAAAACACATCCCATAGACCATTTTGAGCTTATTTCTGATATCTTTGGAGTGAGAGAGAGAGTCCTAGAGGGAGAAAGTGATCCTCATCAAAAATTTCTCTTCGATTCTTACTTAAACCTTTTAATATTATCAAGAGAAGCACACTAGGTCTTCATACTAAGAGGTAAGATTCTATCATCAAGCTCTTAAATTTGAAATATAACTATAATGGGCAATTAGTAAGGTAGTTCATAGGGATGGGAGTGCTTACCTTGCATGCATGTATTCTTAAGGTACGTGGGGAGGTTGTAAGTTAAAGATAGAAAAGAATGGGGTGTGGGATGGTGAAGTCTTTCATAAAAGGGCCATGGAACCTTAATACACACATAGTATTTGATAAAATACTCAAGTGATCTAGAATCATGATCGTTTTCCTAATTTTTGGTTCAATTTTTGTTATATTGCTAAAATAGATTTAAGTTGCTAATATTCCGGAACATCTTAGAGTTTTAAGAAGCTCAATTGAGTTATGTTGGCTAAACCCCTTCTTCTTAGAATCGAATCCCACGGTGTTCATGTAATTGGTGTAAGTCCCAAATTGATCATTATAGAATTGGCTATTCCTAATGTGTTTGTGTTGAAGGATGTATGTTCAATATTTATTCTTAATGCTTCATCATGTCATCTTGCCACTTGAGAATGTGTTTAAAATGTGGAATATGTGTTAGAAATGTTGATACTTCATGTCAAGATCGAATAAAGGTTGTTATGCCAAATTGTATGTAAAGTCTCTATGTGCCTAAGATTCCTAAATTGCTCATATGTGAATTTAATGTATTGAATGGGAAGTCTTATTGTTGTTGATAATGATAATGATGTTTGAATGTGGAAAAAAATCTGAATCATGAAATACGGCCAAGCGCCAAGAATAACTTTATAATTGGGGCCACTCGTGCCATTCTATTGAAAAGCTAGGAAAGAAATATGAAGTGAGATGACTGATTGAAAAGGGGTGATGTCTCGAATGAGATCGCTTATCTGATCAGGCCGAGATTGGACTCCGTGTAAGAACACGGTGGTATTGTGGATGAAATTATGAATATGGTTGGTGTCTCAGGTGAGATGGCCTATCCGATCGGGCCGAGATCGGACTCCGTGTAAGAACACAGTGGTATTGTGGATTGTGGCATATTGGCACTAAAAACCCATCCAACCTAATAATGTGGGAATTGACTAAAAAATCTATGTGATCCTTAACTTGATGTTTTAGTGTTATTTAAAGCTCATATTGCATTCTTGACTGTTTCCCCTTGTATTATTGTTCATTCTATTGAGACAGTGTTTTAGTTTTACATACTAGTACTATTCGATAGTACTAACGTCCCTTTATCCGGGGGCTCTGCATCTTTAAATGGATGCAGGCGGTTCGATAGCAGACAGTATTGATCACAGATAGTGTTACATCCTCTTCTCAGTAGACTCGGTGAGCCCCATTTCATTCCAGGGTCACGTATTGTACCTTTTGTTTATATTATAGTCACTCTTTGCGGTATAGCCAGGGCCTTGTTACCGCCACCATCTTTACTCTTTTTTGTATATTTATAGGCTCCATAGACACTATGTGGGTTGTATATGGGTGTTAGAAAGGTCAACGGATCATGTTGTATTTTGGGCTCTTGTTCCAATCAGTCATAAGGATGTATGTATTTTGAAACTTAACAATGACGTAACAAAATGAAATGACTTATTAATGTATATATGTATGGACTTTCTACTGCCTAACAAATGAGATCATGCCTTCTCTGGGTCATAGGTGTGTCAGGTAGATAGTGTCTAGCTGGCTTGCTCGACGGGGTCCACTCGGTAGAGCTCCGGTTGCGCTCCCCGAGGTTGGGCCGTGACAGGTTTCTAAGATTTGGTTAAATTATAGAACAGAGAATACTATATGGAGTACATCCATGATAAATAAATATAGCAAGAAGATCAATAAAGTAGTGGTTCCATGGAGAGAGGGATCTCGTGTGTGGAGGAAAATGCTTCAAATGAGGGATCAAGTGGAACACCCAGTGTGGTGGCAATTGAAGAGTGGGAACTCCTACTTCTAGTTTGATAATTGGACTGGACTTGGAGACCTTTATCATGCTTCAGGTCTAGACCATTGGTGTGATGAATCCATAAATTATGTTGATGATGTGGTGGAGAATGGGACATGGAATACAGGGCTTTAGAGGGAGTTACTTCTAGAGGAGTTAGATGACCACATTTTGGATTCCATCATACCACCTTCAGATTACTCAATGAAGGATAAGACTTGGTAGAAGCTGAAAATAAAAGGGAAATTTACAGTGAAGTCTGCATGGCAATACAGAAGGAAAAGAAGAGATGAAAGCAAGCTATACATGTTCTTTTGGGTAAAGGGTTTTCCTTTCAAGATAAGCTTTTTCATGTTGTTGTTGCTGGAACCCTAAATAAGAGACATTGCCTCATGTCTTTTTGACATGTTCAGCTGCTAGATTTGTTTGGAACTACTTTGGTGCACCTGCATGGATCAAAATAGAAAGGAAATAGGTAGTACAAGTGATAAATAAACCTGGGAACACAAGTTTAAAGGCAATCTATCAGGCCATGCCAAGTCTGATTGTGTGGCATTTCTGAAAGAAAAGGAATTCAGGGCTACATAGGAATAAATGTATCCTTTAATAGGTTAATCTTTTAGATATCAACCTCGATACAAATATTTTTGAAGGTGAGAAAACCAGGCTTCAAGGGAGTTACCACTAACTGGCTGCATTTACATGAAACATTGCTCAATCATATCCCTAGATTGAGGTTCACTAAAGTGTTGTGGAAATTGCCTCCAGATAGATGGATTAAATATAACACTGATGGGGCCTTTAGAGGGGAATTTGGAGGAGCTTCATATGGTTTTTTCATTAGGGATGGTATTGGAGATCTTATATATGCCTAAGCTGATGTAGTTGAAGAGGCAACCAATAATATTGCGGAAGCACAGGCCATTCTTGAAGCAGCCAGGTACATAATTCAAATGTAGTTCCTCCATGTATAATTGAGACTGACTCTTTACTTAGGAATAAAGTATTGGAGGATGTTTGGAAACCACCTTGGAACATTGTTAATCAGGTGGATGAAATCAAAAGTCTATTATTTAAGGGTGTGTTCCAGGTAATTCATGTGTTGAGGGAAGGAAACGAGTTAGCTGACCACTTAGCTAACTTGACATTGTATTAGCATCATATGGTATAGGTGCACTCCTTTTGGGAGCTGGAATGAGAAGGAAGAAAGATTTTGAACAATGACAAGCTTCAAATACCCTATCTTACGGTAAGAACTGCCAAGACAAGTAATAATTGAAATGAAGGTGATATATATGAATATAAGGGGGTGTATCCAGTTAAGATGAGGAGGAACATGTATTATTATGGAAGGAGGCAATCTATAAGGAATGGAGATCACAGTACACTTCCAACTCAAATCCTTAGGGAGGAGAGAAGGAAGGAGTGTTTTACTAACATGTTTGCTGATTTTACAGGTACTTTGGAAGGGAATTGATTCTATGTTCTAGCCAAATCTATTAGGGTGATATTATTATCTTTGAAACTCATGCCCTATAGGTGTAACCACTTCTTAGGCCAATCCAGTAACACTCTCTACAAGCCAAAGAAAAGGGTACTTTTGAACCTTTGCATCCTGTCTCATACCTATGTCCGGTGTGGAGATAACAAGGAGGAATTAAAATGCAAGTCCCTTTGCATTAACGACTTCCTGAGGAATAAAATAGGTAGGATTTACAGGTCTCATAAAGTTACAATGGCCATTGGCTTCCGTAAGAACATGCTACTGCCCAGAACAAACGAATTTGGTCATTCGACTTCACACCCTTGGGCGGGTCACTCTAGCAAGTGTTGGAGGAGCTCCCTGGTATATGTTGCATCTATCACATATGAGGATCTTATCTATAATAGGTTTTCTACGAGATGGTCCAGGTATGAAAATGTAATATGGAGGCAAAGTTGTTGCGAGGCCCCTTCTATCCATGCCTGGCCCTATGGTGTTGAAGACCACGTGTGTAATTTATTGCAAAGGCAGCCAGTGTCAAGCTTAAATCTCATTGTTAGATATCATATGGAGTTGACTGATGATCAAGGTTTCAAGTGCAAGTGCCCAGAATCATCCGCAAAGAAGGCCAATCAACCAAAAATGAATTGCAAGTTAACTATGTTACTCCAATGCTTAAGGCCTTTATCTCTCTTTATATTATCAAAGGGATGTCTTTTACAGCATTTTGATAATAGGTTCCACGTAATGTCACGCCCAAACTCGGGGAGCACGACTGACGCTCAACCGAGTGATCCCGGCCAAGCAAGCCTGTTAG